TGCTAGCAAGGAGGCTGGCTACAGTGTTTGTAGCAACTTTGTTACTGATGGCCCTCAACTGGAAACTCAAGTGCCCATCTCTATGAGAACTGATAAACTAATATTTTTAATGTAACTTAGAACATAACAGGAAGAACAAATCTCAGACACTAGATCAAAGAGTCCAAGCACAGTAGAGTATGCATTATTCCATTTGAAACACGTTCAAGAACAAGTAAAACTGATCTACAGTTTCAGAACTCAGAATGGGCCTCACTTTGTGGAACTGCTGGCTGGGATTCTGGGGGTGCTGCCCGTGTCCCATCTTTGATCAAGGTGGTGGTTAGACAAGTATTTAAATATGTGTATATTCAGCACGTGCATACCACATCAGGATACCTCATATGCTGACTCAGTAACACAATAAAACAGCCATCTGAAGTTGTTAAACATCTGACTCCCTTTGTTATGGAAAGCCAGACTCAAGACACGATTCAGGGAACGGAGTAAGCCTTTATTCACACGTGCGGGCTCAGAGGAGGCAGTCTCCAAATTCTGAGCCCCGAATCGGGGTTAGACAGGGGTTTATAAGCCCTAGCATCCCGGCGGGAAATGGATGGGCTTCCCAGGTGGGGGAAGGGATTAGCATTCAGGTGGGAGATTGATGTGCTACCCCAGGCGGGGGAAGGGATGTGAAAACGGGCTACAGAAGCAGATAAGCAATGATTAACAGTTAACCTGGGAAGGGTCTCTGGCTAGGCTGCTCCTCTTAAGTCATCTTGCCCTTATCACTTTGTCAGATGGTCAGGAGGTTTACCCTTTCATTCTGGCAGTGGATGGGCTGATCAGGGGCCAGAGATTCTTGGGACTCAGGGGTGTTAGGTCCCCTCAGAAGACAGAATTTGGTGTTAGGCATATACTCTTCCAGTGTTACTTTGAACAAGTAGCTCCATTGAAATGGGGGAGAAATATGAACATTGATAATTCATGGTCCAAAATTAGAGCTGATGAGTTCCACATCCACATAGAACTTCCTTCCAAGTGGCTTTTTTATCTCTCTTGTGAATGGACAGGAGTGATAATTGAAGAATACTAGCAATAAAGAAAAAAAGTCTGAGAGGAAAATGCAGGATAAGCAAGATTTGCGTTTCAATGAGAAGTCATACAATATTTCTACAAGACTCAGCAAGTCATGTGCTGAAACTAAAGAAAAATCAAGGAAGTAAAGAGTCAATTTAAGATCATTTCACCTGGAAATTAGTCAGGGGAGGGGTTAGCAAAAAGTTCTCTGGGAGCTTTAGTGATGCTTTAATTCTAGGCTGGAGGCAGGTCTGCATGTTCATTTCATTGTGTTCTATTTTATGTATTTTGTCTTACGTACATCATACATAAACCCCATAAGGAAGTGAAAACTCTAGTTATTCTCATCCTTCTGACAGTGCATCTAAATAACAGTATATAAAAAGAACAAAATTTAAAATTATGATTGAAATATTTTTTTTAAAAAGAGCAAGACTTTGAAAAAGTAGAAACACAAAGATATACAAAGGTGAAAATAAAAGCACTAACTAGGTCATTTAACAGCCAAAGAAGAATTCCAGAAAACAAGGTGGAAGAGGGTAAACCAGAAATAAGAATTTTGCTCAAGTTGAAAGCCATAGATTCCCAAGATTTTCCCATCAATCACATACAAATAAAAACCCTGGGAATACTTAGAATGGTGATAGAGAATATTCTAAGTCAAAAGGATACAAAATATCCAAGGACAAGACACTTGACAAAGGACCAGAAATCAAATGACAAACTCCAACACTGAACACCACAGTCAACAGGGCAATCCCTTTGACAGCGGGCAGGCTCTCCTCGCCTCTGGGTTGTTCCTGAGTAAACAACTGGCTGAGGTGGGCGGCGGGGGTTGGGGAGGATGCTCAGACATGCGAGCTCTCAACGTTAGGCGCATGCGTTGTTTCTCAAAGTGACACAAAACGGTACGTGCTGCTCAAGCTGGCCCGTGACCCGAGAGACAGGACCTAGCGTCCACCCCGAGAAAGGGAAGATGTGAAGGGAAGCTGCACACTGCCAGCAGGAAGCCTAGAGGGCTCTTCTCCACGCTGGAGGAGGAGGCCATGGTACCCCATGAACACAAGATGAATGAGTGCAGGCTCACAAATAAATAAAATTAGCAATTTTATCCACAAAAACCCCAACACATGCAAGAATTATATTATTCCCACTGGATTTAAACAATCTTTTAGGCAAAGGGTAGAGTTAAGCAGCAATCAGTTTCATTAAGTTAGGAGGACACGGGGGAGGGAGGAAAGGGCTGGGTGGCGACGCGGGTCATGTGCAGCAGCTCTCGGGGCGTGGCTCCAGTCAGACCAACGCCAAGGAGGAGAGTGGCTGGAGGCAGGGCCCCTGTGACAGCGAGGTTTCCGGCCTAGCGAAGTGGGCGGGCATTCCAGAGAGCTACTCAAGTTGGAGATCCCAGCCGATGTTCCATGTCAGAGCAGGGATTGACTCCAACGGGGCAGCTTCGGCCGGGAGCCTCGATTCGCGGGCGCACCGCCACGACTCCTCCCTGAAGTGGCCCTTCGTCCTACTCGAGCAGGCCAGGTTCCAACAGGGGTTCCAGAACGCTCCAGCTACAGAGGCGTGTTCTGCAGAACGTTGCTCCCATAAGGCTCTCTGAAGAGGGGTTCCGTGGTCAAATGCGTTTGGGGAATAAGTCTCTAGGTCCCGTCAGAGGTTCACAGGACGTGACTATAATCAGCCTGAGAAGCCCCACCAGAGAGAACCCGGCAGGTTCTAAACCAAGGCTGAAGCACTAGGATTTTTTCCCCTAAGTTGGGTCCAGATTTTGTACAGGTGTTACCACCCTCCCCTGGGAGAAAAAAATAGACAAGGTGCCACTGAGCAAGTCACCTAAATGCTGGACTTCTGCGGGAACAGCCTGCCCTAGTCTGTGGGAAACCAAGGTAGCTGGGTTTTCAGATCAGCTTCATTTAGAGGACCCTGCACACTTGCTTGTTTGGAGGGTAAGCCTGGAGCTTGTGACCAGATAGGTGCACTTGGTTTTTCACAGAAAGGAGACGACGTGACTGGGCAGTTCCCTTGCTGTCCATGGCCTGACATCTGCCTGCCTCAGTGGCTGGGGCCGCTTTCCTGGGCTTTGCTCCCAGTACACAATATAATCCTGGCCACATGCCGTGCCCAGTGCATATTTGAACTAACCGACTTCGGTCACGCTGGAGTGCGTTCCAGCCAGATGCGGCAACAGATGCTTAAAATGTGGCGAGCACAAAACATTCTAATTTTAAAACAGGTATTTGGCTTAGCTACTAAAAAACTTTGGAAAAATTCAGGTTTGTGAATCTTTTTCAACTTCAAATCTTATAAAACCTAAAGATGTAGTATTGCTAGTTACTATTTAACCTGAAAATTGAGATTTGCCATTGATACATACTGGATATTAAAAAAAAAACAAACCAAAAACCTAAAGCAGCTATATTAAATTGTATTTAATCTAACATATCTAAAATATTAAGATGTTTTATCTGTTCAGGATTGCTAAGGTGAATCAATGTTATGCCGAAGCTGCTAGAGGACGAGGTTAACCACTGCCTTTGCCGCAATCAAAAGCCACTGCTCCTCCCCTTTGAAACACTTGCCCTTCAGCACCGACAAAGGCAGTCGGCAGGGACAGCCCTTCACATCCAGACAGCGAGCCCAGCTGCAGCCCCCACGCGGCAGGCAGCCTGGACCTGCACCACGGCAGAGCGGCCCCCTGAAGAGCAGAGCATCTGCAGAACATGGACTTGGAGGCCCGCGCTCTGGACGAGGAGCTCCTGGTCCAGTGCCCCCGTTACCGCACCAGGCGGCACTGGCTCATCGTCAGTTTTAAGGGCAGGGCTGATGCCCTTGATTCGCTTGAGAGAGTAAGTAGTTTGACCCCTGCCTCGGATCCTAGAAACTGGGGATGAGGACCCACCTTGTTAGGTCTTCATGCGACACAAGGGTTTCAGCATGGGATAGTTTGTCCCCTAAGCAGCATGTGGTGTCCCTGCCGAGTAAGCTAATACTTAGTCCCGCTTAGCAGTTTAAAGTGGGGTTGGCTTGACCACAAAGGAGCCAGGTAAAAGCTAAGACTAACACCTTACAATTGGCTGAAATGTCAAGCAAGCAAAGGTTCCCTCCTGCAGACGAGTGGGGAGACCCTGTCTACGAGGGCTGCTTGCAGAGCTCCTGGGTGAGACAGCAGAGATCACCCTCGGTCTGACCCACGGCATTGGTTACCAGGTGGTTCTGCGGCAGGAGTCTCACTGTGAGAAGCCTCCCCCTATACTTCTATGCTTAAGAACTACTAAACTAGGAAGTTCCTCGGTTCTGGGTCAGACCTGAGCCTCTTATCAAGCCACCTCCAGTTAACCAACCCAAGAACAAATAGCTCCTCTTAGTCAATGTTGGAGACGCTGGTTTTCAAAGTGTGACTTTGGAGCAGGAAGATCAGTATCACCTGAGAAATGGTTAGAAATGCAAGTTCTTAAGCCTCACCCCAGCTGCACTAATCAGGAACTCCAGGGCAAGGCCAGACACCGGTTTCCATGCGCCCTCCCTCGATTCCGACGCACACCAAGTTGGAGAGACGGTGGCCTAGAAGGCTTAGCCTGGGCTCTAGACTAGTGCTGCATTAGTCTGATTGATCTTGTGGGAGACTTCTGTGTACACACCTATTGAACTTATAAAATTCTCTGCTTGGTCTGAGATATTTAGTTCTTCTATACCCTGAGTTGTCAACTAACTATGAAATTCTACTGAAATGTTGTTACATCAGAAGATAGGGCTGAAGCACAAAAATAGGATATCATGGTTTTTATTCTATTCTTGGTAAATTGCTCCCTTCCACAAGTTGAAAAGACAAGGTGTCAATGACAGACAGGTAAAGAGCTAAGGTAAACAGCTAGCCTCAAGCTACCAGCCTTTCAAATGAGGAGTTGGGCACAGGCTGCTAGTGGCATCTAGTTTTATTGACACATTTGGTCTGAGTAACTCATCTCCATTTCTTGATAGCCAGGCAGGACACTAACAGGACTCCAACAATTAAGGTCCCAGAGAGGCCTGCCACCCATAGAGCTCGGGAGGCTACAGGAGAACCTGGTGGATGAGAGAGAGGTTAGCATGATGAGCACATCCTGGCAAAGACCAGCAGTCTTCAGCTGTCAGAAAAACGAGCCAGTCCCCTTCTTTGGGGATGCACACTGATCACGTAAGGGAGAGGCAACAGGTGTGAGAAAGGAATTTTGGTTTGACTAGTGGTTCAGGTATCTATTAAGTCTTCTACTCACCTGAGTCCTTATGAAGCTTTTCTGAAGTGTCCTGAGTGGCCTGGAGCAGAATCATGGGGCCCTTGCTAGAAATGCTGGCAGGACTGTTGTGAAAGTCGATGTCAGAGCTTCTTCTTCCTGTTAGAGATGAGAGCTAGGGGTTGGTTAGGTTTTTGCTCATGGAGTTATGAGGGTTAGGAAGTGAGGGTCCAATACAAGGCCAGGTTCCTCAATGTGTACATCACCTTAAGAAAACTTGTATGTGTGTGTTAGACCTTAGTATGTGTTAAACTTCATATTAGTATGTTAATGCCTATCTTGCTCAAATTTGTCCTGCTGAGCCATTCCCTCCATTTCCCCAGCATTTGGAAACACAGACCATGAGGGCGGACTGTCCTAGAACTACTGTCCTTTCTTAAGCAGCACTTAGTAGCTGGTTAATACCGAGACCCTTCCCTGTGATGAAAGGAAACTGGGAATCAGTTAACAGTAGAGCTTTGTTTGAATCCCAAGTCTTTTGCCAGTTAGAGGACCTTGGAAAAGTTAACCTGAGTTTGTTTAGCTCTCTGGAAGTATACAGATTATACATCAGTGGAGTTAAATGTTCAATACTTGATAGTAATAATAGTTTTGAAAAATACTACATTAAGTTTTAAAAATCTTTTTGTGCTAGTAGGGACTCAAAGCTTCAGGGGCCATGAATCTAAGTAATTTGGGGGTGGGCAGGTAAGTGGGAGGGGCCTCACCAGCTGGAGCCCACGGCCTAAGCCTTCAGTCGTGTCCACCTGCAGATCCTCAGGCGGCGCACTCAGGCCTGCTTCCAAGCAGCTGGAGAAGTCTACGTTTGTGAGCTAGCCAGACAGATTTTTTTTTTTTTAATTGGGCCATATGGAGTCTATGAACCAGTCTGACTCCTGACTTAATTAAAATCCACAGGAGAAAGCTATGGCTGAGAGTTACTCAAGGGTTTCCAGCTTATATTTCAAAGGCTTGGGGTTCTGGAGCCCCCAAAGTAGAGCATCTTTCTGCTCTACTGCATCATGAAGTGAGCACTTTGTGAAGCCTCATCGATACGTTGGTCTCTAGTTTGAGTCCTCTGCACACAGAGTGCAGGGTTAGCTCTGGGGCTCTCGTGCAGACAGCTCGGATACTCACTCCTGACAACGGGACAGGTCACCCAGGACGGCGCGCCCGCAGGCTGGCAGACAGACACGCTGCAGTGCAGGTGCACCTGGGAGGCAAGAGAGGCGAGGTCCCGCTGTAGCGCCTCATCGGGAGGAGAGGCTGAAACCACGCCACATCCCCGACAAGAAGGCGCCAAGAGCGAGTCAGAAAGTCTCAGTAGCCCAAGCCTGTGTCACTGTGGCACTGGAGAACCAGGTCTAGTTCACAAACGTCACTCGCATCGCTGGTAACAGGGTTGCTGAGGCAATCCCGACAGCCAGCGTTCAAGGCCAGCCTTGGCCGAGAGCGGCCTGACGGGGAGACACATGAGCTGGGGGGCTCCCAGCCCTGCTGCAGAGCACGGAAGGAGGCGTCATACCGGTCCCCTGAGCGCGCGCCTGGCCCCCGAGTCCACGAAGCTGAAGGTGGAGATGCTGAAGCGCTGGTGGTGGGCAGGGAAGGGCAGGCCCGCGGCTGCCTGCACAGGGATCAGCTGGGTCCGGTAGTCGTCTCCAGCGTAGGGGCGTCTGGCAAAGACACCACCGTCAGGCGCGCTTCCCTGAGGGGCTCCGCCCCCAGAGCCCGGAGGAGCACTCACCGCCCACGAGCAGGGCCCACTGGGGCCGGCGCAGGGGGCCCGGGCTGGGCGTGGCCCAGCGCTGGCGCAGCCGCAGCCCGAGGTCGGCGTCGGTCCTGTGGCGGATGGAGACCTCCACGGGAATGGGCTCCCGCAGGAACTTCAGCACGGGGTAGTGTCCCGCGCCGTAGTAGGCGCTGTAGTTTTTATCTGCAAGGGGCCAAACTGAGCTGAAACGACACGGAGCTGGGGGCTCCAGGTTGCCTGAGACCGACTACCGCCCACACTGACTCCTCCAGCAAGTGCCTTGTGACCCAGGCAGGGCCTTCCGGCCCGGAGTGCGGAGGAGCGGCCGGACTCAGACTGCGGGCCCGCCGCTCCGGCCCGGAGGGCCTTACCTTTGGCAATCTGAAGTTCCGGGGTGAGGGGTCCAGGCTGGGTCTGAGGGCGGGGCGCCGGGACGAGGAGCACCTGCACGGCAAGCGGGAGGGCGTGGCTGCCCGCGGCGTAGGTGCAGCTGACGCGGACCCTGCAGAGAACCAGGCCGCTGGCCAGCTCGTGTGGGCGGGCCACGCTGCTGTCCTGGGGGTGCTGGGGGGCGATGTGGTGCCATGCCTGGACAGCTTTGTGAATACCATGGGCACGCTTCCCGGCCTTGGCTCTGCTTTAGTTGGGGAACCCAACAGGTAAAGGGGATCAGTGGGTAGGAGTGGAAGGCATAAGAAACACCCGATAGACATGGGCCTGTGAGAAACGGGTGCTTTCTTGTACAGGAGGCTGTCAGGGACCGTCTCCTGGGGATGGGTCGTGAAGGAAGATGAAGTGCCAGGACTGAGGCACAGGGGGACAGAGCAGCTGACACAGAGCGACGCACAGAGGAGCCCAAGGTCCTCTGAAGACTACAGAAAGGGCGATCCAGGCTGGAGGAGAGGGTGGGACCCAGAACGTTGGAGGCGGTCAGGCTGGGGAAGGGTCCCACAGGCCACACCCTGATGTTAAGCTAAAGCTCCCTCGTTGTCAGCCCGAGCTTGCATTGCAGCAGACTGACCAGCCTGGGGTTTTAAAGGGACCCCTTTTGCTGCAGCACGGACAATGGAGGTAGAAGAGAGGTCAGAAAGTGAAGTAAGCGAGGAAGAACACAGGTGGGTTAGGGGCTCAGGCCAGGCTGGGGCCGGCGATACAGGCAGACCCCAGGAGCCGTGGCCAGCAAGGCTGGACGGTGGAGGCGGCAGACAGGATCTCGCGACGAGGAAGCATCCTGCGGGTCTGGGGCTGACCTCCGGGCTACTACCCTGCGCAGGGAGAGATGTCCATCTAGCCAGGCAGGGGCAGGTTAGCACAACCTTACCTGAAGGTGCTGTCACGGGTGATCCAACCTTGGCTCCACATCCTCACGTCCCTGGCTGCCACCAGCTCGTTTTTCATACAGTGCCTGGCCTCCGGCGATCTGGGGGGGGGCGGGACGGAAAGGAGGCCTGTCACTCTTGCTGGCCCAAGCCACTTCCCTCAGGGCCTGCTTTGACCCAGCTCTCAGCAATGCTGCCCTGTCATTGCCGGGGGCAGGGGCCCTTGGCCAACTGGGGCGTAGTTGCGTCACCTTACTTGAGGACAAAGAATGGGAAGGGGCTTGGAGTCTTCCAATGGGGCCCCTCTCAGGCGGGCCCTGTTTGGTCTGGGCAGTGCGGTAAGAGAAGCCTGCCTCCGGTTCTCCTCCCCCTGGAGGGGGGCAGGAGGGGCGGGCTGGAGGCAGGCCCTCTCTGCTGCAGAGCAGCTAGATGGAAGCCTAGTGACTCAGCCGTGCTGACCACCCCGAGAAGGGGGCGTCCCCAGCTGCGACCTCCCTGCCAGTTCAGCTGCCCGGAGCTTTAGTGGGACCCTGGGTCAGCCCCCAGGTTTGACTCTTGCCTCTGTCACTTACTGTGGGGCCTCAGGAAAGTGTGGGACCTCCTGGCTGCAGCTTCATCTGCAACGGGGGCAGCGGCACCTGCTTGGTGTTACTGATCAGGTATTTTCAGAGCTTAGAACCGAGAGCGGCCAGTGGTCACTCAGCGAGGGTTGTTTGCATTAGAAAACCTTAGAGCGTGGTTTGGGAGAGAGAGCATGCAGCCTTTGGAGTAGGGCTCTCCGGATGCTGCTGGAGTGGGAGGTAGCGTCTTGCACCTGGACTTAGCTTCCTGAGGCCACGAAGTGTTACAGCTCTATGTTAGGAGCTATGTTCTAGGAGCTCAGACAGTAGAAGCTGTAGAAAGCTCTGTCACTAAGGGCCTGGGGCACCAGGGGGCATGGCCATTGGTCGTCTTTAGTACCTGCCTTCTGCGGTTGGCGGGTTGGGGCGTGACTAGCCCTCCTCCAGCTTCAGTGGCAGGTAATGGGCACTTTTCTTGAGCTGGTATCAAGGAAGCCGCACTCACCTGTGTTTCCGTAGTAACAGGAGTTCCCAGTGGAGCTGTAGCAGCAGCCCAGCCGCTGGCAGCCCCCCTGGGTGGTGGGTGAAGGCACGCACGGCAGTCTGCCCCACGCAGGGACAGCGTCACACACGTCAGCACCTGGAGCACTCGGGGCTGGGTTTGAAGAGGAGAGCCACTCAGGTAACAAAGCTTGGGCTTTACAAGAGATTTCGTTACAAAGCATGAAAAGTCCCATAAATATCTAGACCGTTGGAGTAGAAAGGTCCATATTATACACTAGATTAGTAGAAAGGTCCATATTATACACTAGATTAAGTCCCAGGAAGTTAAGCAAATATTAATTAAGTCACCTTGTAGGAGCCCCTGAAATTAGTCCTTTTTGAAGAAAAGACAGACTGTAACGAGGCCAGGAGAAGCAGGGCTCCTCGCTTTCTTCCCAGGGAAGGCCCCCCCCAGCAGTCTCCACCAGCCCGCGGGACCCCCGCAGTCTCTGGGACAGCAGCTCGGAGTGGGGCCCAGTCCCCACATTTCCCCTGAGCTATGTTTTGAGTAACAAAGAGGCGTGAGCAGAATGAATTACATATCTGAGTCTGTTCTAACTGGGGCTCCCAGGTCTGGAGGCAAGGCCTGCGGACGCTGGGGTGCTGGCTGATTCCCCAGCCAGGTGGTCAAGTAGCGCCCCCTCCCCCGCCCTAGGGGCGACTGCACTCAGCTGGCCCCCCAGGCCAAGTCCTCCTGGGAGCCTCTGTGCCTCCCTGACCCTCTTCGAGCCCCAGGAGGCCTGGCCCTGGGCTAAGCTCACTGCTAGGGGCAGCGGCAGCGCTCCGGCCCTGGTAGGGTTCGGGAGGGCCCCACGCCGAGCTCGCTCAGGTGGGCGTTATCCTAAGGGCGCATGTGCGGGGAGCGGTGGCAGACCATCCATTGTCAGTGTCACTGCACAGAGCGCGTGGAGCGACTGGCACGCACCTGGGTGAGCCGTGGGACACTTGAGCAGCCTGGCCTCCACCGCCGTCCCGTGCCCGGCTCCGGCCATGCCTTCGACTCCGACTAGCATGATGTGGTTGGAGTCCTGGGGAGACAGGCCCTGGGTCAGCCTGGGAGGGCAGGGGGGCTCAGCGTCCCTGGGGCCTGGGTCGTACTCACCCACTCAGTGACGAAGCAGCCGCTGTAGGACGCCTCCGCCACCACGGAGCCGCCTGCACCCTCTGTCACCCGGACGCCGCAGCCAGAGTCGTTGTGCAGCCTGTGCAGCAGCCCGGCTTTATCTGGGGGGCGGGGAGGGTCACCACGGTGCAGGGAAAGGACAACCCCAAGGGGCAACCGCCAAGGAGGGAGAGGAGCCAGAGGGAGCCCAGTTCAGGAGTGAGGTGGCAAGTGACAGGTCTATAGAGAAGTTGCAGTTTGCCAACAGGGGGCAGTGGTAGGACAGGAAGCTGGAGGCTGGTTTTAGGTGGCAGCAGCGAGGAGCCCCTGCCGGTTCAGCGGGGGCCTCATCGGACTTACCCCAGGCCGGCGGGGCGGCAGGGGTCCCCGGACCGGGGGGGGGGTGTGGTGAGGCGGAGGCCCCGGGGCCCACAGTGCAGCTCGCCAGCATCTTCGGGTCCCTCGGGCTCCCGCGGGCCATTCAGGGCCAGGGCCAGAGCCAGGGGAAGGCAGAGCAGCAGGGACCGCAGCCACATGGTGCCACCAGGAGCCCACCAGCCCTGAGCTTCCCGTCGGTCCGAGCCAGGCTGCTATGCGCTGAAGGGTCCCTTGTGTACGGGAGCTGGGTGCGCGCGCAGCTGCTGCCGCAGGTGGGACGCCCGGGGAGGGTAAGTCCTCCGCTCCCTCCATTTCAGGCTTCGCCCGCAGCTGCCTCGCTTTGGGCAGCTCCCCTGGCGCCTGCAGAGCCGGGGAGGCCTGGGTGTTAGCTCAAGGAGGCTCCCTCCAGGCTGCCCAGCACAGCGCTGACGATGCTTTGGCCTCAGGAGGCCTTTCTCTGGAAACTTCCATGTTTGGGCAAGGCACAGCTCTGCCACTTGTGAGCTATAGGGCTCAGCAAGTCACTCCATGGGGGCATCAGTGTCCTACCTGTAATGGGGGCATGGGCTCCCGGCCGGAGTGTGCCTGAGGATACAGTGACGTAGTCTCGGTCACGCACCTGGGGCTGCGCTTGGCCGGCGCTCCTCAACGCCGCTGGGCCCGCCAGGACCCTGTGTCCTCCCACAGGCCCTAAGCTTTCACGAGAAGTCCCTGCACAGCTGGAGCCTGGCCTGAAATCCCAGAAAAATGTAAACTCGGTTCCTGAGAAAACCTGGCTTGGAACCTTTCCCTGGTTCTGGGAGACAAATCCACCGGAGGGGCCCTGACAAAAATCCCAAAGGCTTTCTCTGCCATTTAGACATTTCAGTTACATTTTCAGGAACACACAGATTTCCTGATCGCCTGCTCACGTTTCCATCCCCCTCGTGAGCTACGATCTCCTTGCTGTGGCCACGGGTTAGTGTCATCAAGGTGCTGGCCAGCGGGCAGAGGCATCCCGAGAGACGTGGGGATGGAGGGACCAGCTCCTCCCGGTGAGGTGACAGCATGACTCCCACCAGTGCCCCCAAAGGGTCTTCTGAGTGTATTTACCCCAAGCCTATCACATGAAAAAATTTCCCAAGTTGGCCAAAAATCTCAGCCAAAGCCCTGAGAACCACAACCGGGTGTCTCTAGTTCTCTGTAAGCAGTGAAAGGGAGCCCTGTCCTCTCTGGGAAACTGCATGACCCATTAGCCACGTGACGATGCAACGCGGAGGGACTGTGACCTCTGCCCTCACGGATGGGACGTGGCTTCCGGACATTCTCCACGGGGCCTGGGCTTGGCCACTGGCCTGTCGCATCCCGTTTGCTTGCTCTCAGCGCTGGCCACACTGGCCTGTGGGGACCACTTCCTCACTCAGCGTCCATATGAGGAGCCCTGGGGACGGACTGTGTTTTCCTTCTACTGATCCCGGATGCCCGAGACAGTGTGAGCCCCGCAGTCCCCGAGGAAAGAAGGAATCCATGAGCGCGCTTTTACTAGTGGCCTGTCCCTGGGCTGGTGACCCTGTTGAAAATGTGGTTTCCAAACCTCGCCGGCGCCTCATTTTATTTAAATGATGAGGTTAAACTCATAACCTTCCGGAACCACACATGTGATTGTAAGTGAAACCGTCTGAGGGTGGGTTGGTGGGGGCCGTGCCAGCAGCTAAAGGCCAGCCCCCAACCAGACTCACTGGGGCTGCTCGCTGAGGCGGTTGGCAGCCACGGAGGCCACCGTTCTGCTGGTGGTCGGGGGCAGAATGCGCAGCGGTTAGGCCGCTTGCGCAGGGGTTGAGTCATCACTTGCCAGCTCTGGGACCTCAGTCAATGAGTCACTGTTTACACATCTTGTCTCTGTGAAGTGGAGGTAATAATACCCACCTGCCCCAAGAGGTATTCTTACAATGGCCAGGTTGTTGTGAGATGCAGAAAGATAATGGGTGGACAGTGCTTATTACAAAGCTTGCTGCACAGTCATTACTGGGTAAGTTGTCACTCACATCAGCAAGTCCAGCCTGCCCGCTTGGGAGACAAAGGGAGGGGGACAGGCGCGGGTGCACGTTCTGGGCGTCCCTGGTGGGCGGGGCGTCTGCGGGACAGCCTCCACCTGGGGGGCTGCGTCCCAAGCGAGGTACTGGGTTTACTTTAACAGCCAAGAGACACACTTACGTCTGGAGCTGTGCTGCGGTATCCGGAAGTCCTGCCGGGGTCATATCGTCACCCTGATGCCACAGTGGGTCGGGATGAACCCTAAGATAAGGCCAGCAGGGCTAGGATGAGGTGATTTCGTGCTCACACCTGCGCCAAATCCCCTGGAGAGGCCCTCATTCAACGACACCATTCAGTTTCAGGAGAGAAAAAGCACCGGCAACAGTGGGCCCACCTGAGAAGCCCAGGGGTCACCATGAGGCTATCGTACCCCTATTACCACAAAAGTACTGGCCTGGGGATTTTTCTCTTGAGTTGCATTTGACTGTTGCCGTTTAACCTGGGGACTGACGTGCCTTTCCTGGGACAACCGCAGGCGCGCCCGGCTGTTGGTTACTCTAGAGGCTGGGCTAGGGGCTGGCAGTGCCCAAGCTGCTGGGGTTCTCCTGCTCCCCACGATTTGGCAGCCAGCGGTCCCCATGCTGTGACTACGGTGTGTCCCCTGACGGCAGAGTGAGGGGTCAGGTACACGAAGCCCCAGGAAGCCCTCCTCCCTTGCGCAGAAGCAGAAGCCAAAACCGCCCCCTTGTGGAGGGATGCTGAGGCCACGGGGTGCGCGGATCAGTGACTCGGAGCCGCTGTGGGCACCCAGCCGCTCTGGGCGTGGGATGGAAATCAGGACACTTCTCTCCTGAAGGAAGATGCCAACAATTTCCTTTAAGAACTCACGAGGTTTTCTTTTGCAACCAGAAAGGATGGAGTGTGAGCTGAGTCAGCGGTGACGGGGTGAGACCACCAGCGGGTCCCTCTGTCCTGGGCCACATGGCCCGCCTCCCAGTCCCATGGCCCGGGCTGCCCCACACCTGCTGCTCAGACGTTTTCCACCCTCTTGTGCGGCCCTTCCTTTGCTGCCATGACCACCCCCAGCAGGGGCTACAGTGTTGGAGTTCTGGGTAGGGATTTACCAATAAATTTGATGTGAGTGCCCTGGCCCGTATAGGCTGTGTCTGTTGGAATGTGTGCCTCCTCCTTAGTATGCGCATCTACTTAAGGGTGGGCTGCCAGTCCCGGCAGGTTGGGGCCCCCTCTAATGGCCTCACCGTAACTGGACTGCAGCTAGAAAGACCCGCTTTCCAGATCAGGCTGTGCTCTGAGCGGCGGGTGCAGGGCTTCCGTCGTTTCTGTGGGCAGGCATGCACTTTAGCGGAGGACACCTTGCACTCCGTATAACACGGTACCGGTCATGCTAACCTTTGTTTGGGCCTTTTAATTTTATTTTTAGATGAAATGAGAACTGTGTGCTTGAGAATGCTTTTGTTTCTTTACTTTTACAATTTTATTTCCTTGTTAAAATCCCTCTTGAAAATTCCTAGCCTTGCTTTGGCTCCACGGAAGGGCTTTTTAGATTCCTTTTCGTTGAGCAGGAAGGCTGGTTGGTTGGTCCTCAGGGCTGTTATGGTTTGCGGAGCAGGGAGGGGGCAGGATGGAGAATTGGGAGGAAAGGCGCAGGCCACTGGGAGCCACGTGCCCAGAGGGCTCTGCCTTGGGCTTGGCGACCACACTGGAGGTGACTGGGTGATCATTCACCAAGGCAGCGCCAGAGGCTCTCTCGCCTGCTCTGTGTCTTACATTCTGCACTCACTCACGTGGTCGGGACACAGCCTGTCTCCTCCAGCCACAGGCCAGGATGTTCGCCGTTTCCTGCTCTTCCGTGCATGCAGCGCAGCCTCACCGTCTCTGTTGGACCACGTCCTCGCTTCCCTGGGGACAAAGGTCTCCAAGTCCTGTTCCCGGGCCAGCAGTGTCTGAGCTGCCTGGGGCTTAGTCCAGGTGTAAATTTTGGGGCCTCACTCCTGACCTCATGAGTCAGAAACTCTGCGTAGGGCCAGCAACGTAACAATTTTCCAGGTGATTTCGACACACGCTCAGGCCTCCGAACGGCCACCTCAGGGCCGAGCTTCCGAGGCCGGCACCAGGAGGCGGTTCCCAGGCGCTGTGGCCGCAGGGGCAGCACAGTGTGCTTTGCTGTCACTCTCTCTGGGTTCCTCCTGGGAGAGCCGCGATTCTGTTCTCTGCCTTTCCTCCCGGATCATGAGGCCCGAAGGCCCTTCCGTTTCCCGTGCTCCTGTGCTCAGGCCGCATGTTGCAGTTTAGCGAGCTCATTGTTTAAACCATCCTCGAGCTGTGCAGGGAGCCGGCTTGCAGGGCCCGCCTGGCTGCCCAGGGGCCCTGCCCACATGTCTGGCGTGGCCTCCTTCCTCCAGGTGGCTGTCATCAGACCTCCTCTGAGCTTTCTCAGACTCCGACCTGCCCCCACCGCTGACCCCCTACCCTGGCTGTGGGCTGGGACACCCTCTCTGGTTCTACTTGTTTGCTTTTGCTTGGCTTTTTTGTACTTATTCATTGCATTTTATTCTTCTAAAAAATCTGTCTGAGGCATCACCTCTCCCAGGAACACTTCTCAGGCCACTGGCCACTAAGGCCGGGCAGGGGCTGTGTCCTCTGGGCACTTCATGGTGCAGCTCATGGTCACTCTCTCTGCCTGGGTCCTTTGCAACCGCCGGGGCTTCAAGCACAGGGTTTGCCTCTTTGGATAATGTTCTGGGAACTCAGGTTCCACAGCCTCTAAGAATCCCGTGGCAGACCCCTGCGCCCCGCTTGCGGTCTGGTGACTAGGGTCCCCCTGTGGGTTCAGGCAAACAGAGCTTTCGCACCTTCGCCTGCCCTCCCTGCGGCAGACCCAGCGAGAGGACTTGGCCAAGGTGTTCAGCAAGGTCGTGTGACAGGCTGCCTTCCGTACTCCTGTGTCTCCTGTCTTGTCCAACCTTGTCTGTGATCACGGGACAACCTTGCTTCGCACCTGCGCAGACACACGCCACGGGGGTGGGGCCCAGCAGCTGCCTGGGCTGCCCTCTGAGCCAATATCCACGGGAGTGTAAAACCTTCCGGTGAGGACGCTTTTATCCACTGGGACACAAGCAGCGCC